GCTGACTGAGCCCTCTAATCTTCACAAGCAGATGAGACAAGACATTCTTCACAACCACTCCTAATGTGGCTGGAGAGAATAAGCTCAAAGTTAATGACATGTCGCCACCAGTAGTTAGTTATCCTGCATTATGAAATGAAAGACCTCATAGAAAAATTGTAGATCAATGATAGTGGATAAATGAGCAACATTGCATGTGGTCGTACTAAGTGACAGTGCTGGATAGGAAAGATGAAAACTCCCTAAAGTGATGATAAATGATAGGAAATACAGTGTATTCATCACAACAACTGAATATACTGTATTTCTAAAAGTTAAAGCCACACTGAAGCACTTTGAATGTATACAGTATAATTGGTGTGAATGTACAGGGGTGGGAACATAGACTTTGAACGTGTCAGTTCAGCCCATGAAGCTGCATATATCTAATGTTAGCATCATAGGCTAACACGTATCAGCCCTCCGAGGCATCCCCCAACTACAGCTTGTGACGGCTGAATGGCCTGTCCGCAAACTTCTTAAACATTTCCTCTTTTTTAGCCAAACCATTAAAGGTGATAACCCACACCCCCCAAAAGTTAGAAGCAACTGAGTATGGTCAAAACTACGTAATAAAAGCAGGCTCTAGTCTCACTCAACTATTCAGTCATTTTGGTCTTAGTCACATAAGATCTGTTATGCGATTGTATCGTTTTTTCCTTCTGAATGACTTTTTTCCAGGAAACGTATGCGCACATTTCTGGTAAACACAAGTGGAACTAATTAAATATGTGTAATTTTTTGTAGAAGAAGAATTGCTTATGTCAATGACAGCCCTTATAGGTATTACATTACATTTCATTTGGCTGACACCTTCATCCAAAGCAATTTATAATTTGTGAAATAAAAAGGCAGAACATCAAGAAACATGCAAGTGCTCTTCAAAAAAAGCCAAACCATTGTAAGTGCTGGTGCATTAGTTTCAAATGGGCTAAACCTTTTAAGTGCTATCATTTCTTTTTGTGTGAGTTGGGTTTAAGTCACAGTCTATGGTTTAAGTAGAGGCCAACTTGTCCCTGAAAGAGTTTACAAATGAATATGTAATATTCAGAGAACTTCAAGGGTGTTTCAGGACCACAGAGGTCACCTTAAAACATAGAAATTCAATTCTCTCAAAATCCCATCCTGCCCGGCACAGCAGGAAATCCATCTGAAAGGAAAAATAATTTCACTCGGCCCCTCTATTTTTCTCGTTCAATTGAAGAGAAATTGTTCTTTCTAAAACAGCAGATAACAGTATTGTTATTGAATCCGGCTCAATCTGGAGCAAGCTTGAGATTTGACAAACACTCTTTGGTACTCAAAGCTACACGCAGACTCAATCCTCCACCTAACTCCCAGAGGCGTGTGTCTCAGATGGACAGGGGTGTCAAACAGGGCGTGCGGGGTAATTGCAAAACCTGGGGGTGCAGTGCTAAACGCTTCACTGTTTGCCTACCAATGATGGGGATGGGGTGGTTTGCTTAGTGAAGCCTAAGTGAGTGTGAAATGTGTGTAGTCTGCCTAACGACATCTTGACAGCCTATGATGAAACTCTACTACTCACAGCAGCCAGACAGAGTGCGATTATACTTCATCCTTTCAGCGGCAGGACCTTCAGGCAGCAGCATAGCAGCATCTCTGTGTTCTCTATCAGTCCACACACATTATGACAGTTTTAATGAGCGCAGACTTACACGCAGATGTTTAGCTCCCTCTGAATAGGGAACAGTTCTGCTCATGCAAATGACTTTCTACTAAGTCATTCGACCACAAGGAGCCGTGACTCAAATGATCAAGAGTTGAACACACCTGCTGAGATGAGAGAAGCTCTAAAATACTTGTGATTTGGGAAATACCCTTATTTCAGAAAAGGAGGGGTTATAAGCTTAGCAAAGAGACTGGTACTCGGTCAGATGTATTGACTGTTATGCTTTTATTTATGTCTTTATTGTGTGCATATGTATAAATGTGTCTGTTGATTGTGTATATGTATGTTATGTATATACATATTTGTATTTTTTATTCCTCGGGATTGTGGGAAACGGTATTTCTAATTCTCTGTCTGTACCTTTATATATACAGTCTATGGTCTGCACACACAAACTGAAAGATTGACAATAAAGTTGACTTTGAAATGGTACACAATATGCCAACCAGTGCCTCTAAAACTTGCTAATTATTACTTTATTCCTCTTCTGAGTTGTGGTTTTATCAAAAGGTTATGTGCTGGACTGGACTCTGTGACTTCCTGGAGTCTCCAAACGGTTGCTTTATAACCTAAAGGTGAACAAAAAATATATATATCTCTTCTGGCTGCAGCATCCCATTGAACAGAAATATACATTCTGTTTAATGGGATTACATTTCCCCTATGCAAGTGAGAAGATTTGAAGTTTCTATACATGAGAAGATGAATGGGTAGCTTCATAGAAAGAGTAAGCATTACCCCAAAATGTTGTGTCTGCATAGAAACCTTGATAATGGACATGAGGCAGACACCTGCTGGCTTACCTTTCAGCAGGTAACATTGTTGAACAAAACACCATACAAGCACATAAGCAGCGTGTTCAGATCCAGCTGGCTCAGTGTGGATCTCTGAGGCTAAACCCTGCTATCCAAGCTGGATGGGAAAGTGTTTGGACAGCTTGAGTGAGATGATCCTTTCAATTGTGTGAACAAAAGGCTCCCAAAACCAACTCTCACTCTTGGACCTGAACTGGTGCAGTTTGGTAAACTCATCAGAGAATGCTCGTGGCCACTGTTGCTCCTCACTCATCTCCATCCTTTACGTGCAACAGCTGCACATACCCATCCCTGTCTGCATCCAAATACCAGCATTAGCAGCAGGCTAGGAATACTCCGAAGTTCAAACTGTCACAAAGCATTTGCCATGCTGCTGTCCTCTTACATTTGCCACCAGACAGTCAATCTCTTATGGAGTGACAGAGATTTAGTCATACAGACACGCAGCTCTGTCTCTTTGGCATGTGTGTTGGAGGCTGCAAAAGCCGGCCAGCTTCTTTCTTAAAGGAGCAGTAAGAAAACAAAAATGATAGCATTTTAGGATCACTTTGTTTCCGTGTTGGACCTAAACACCAGGGGGTATTTCAAGAACTCTAATTTTAGACCTGGTTAATACATTTAGGATTCATGAAACACCTTCTGCTGGTGTTGGCAGACCGGTGGATATTTATTAACCATGGTTCCGTTAAAAGATGTCAGGGGAAAAACCGATTTCACTAATGTGTAGCGTAGATCACACGGAAGTGCAGCGAAAGCAAAGGGAAGCTAAAACAAAGTGCACATTTGTTTGCTGAGGCAAATGTCAACTTCTGTGAAAGCCAGTCTGCTGCAGGGTAGATGGCCTGCCAACTGCATCTATTCAACAACAGACACCAACACAGACTGAGGGGGGGGGGGGGGGGGGGGGGGGGGCTTTATGTGTGAGGGTTGGGGGTAAAACCGAAAAACCAGAGGAGAACTGACAGTGTGTGAAGAAGGGTGTTTATTTATTCTGAGATGAGCAGAGAGGATATTCTGATGTATAATTACAGAGAGAGAAATGGTTGCAGAATAGTGTGTGTGCCTCCGCTTCACCACGCATCACAGTATGTATTAGGGCTGCTTAATTAATCGTATTTGAATCGCAATTACGGCTTGCAACGATTACGAAAACAACGTAATTGAAATAAAACGATTATTTTTTTATTATTATTATTAGGCTACTTTTCTTTTCTTTTTTAAATTGGTTTTTCAGTTGAATTATAGTTAAAGTTCAGGGTAATCAACTGTTCAAAACATACTGTTCACATTTTTTTTCTCCAATAAATTGATGTTTTCAAAGTAAATGGATAATCGTTTTTAATAATCGTGATATCAATTATTGACCCAAATAATCGAGATTATGATTTTTGCCATAATCGAGCATCCTGTGTGTGTGTGTGTGTGTGTGTGTGTGTGTGTGTGTGTGTGTGTGTGTGTGTGTGTGTGTGTGTGTGTGTGTGTGTACTGCCTGCCAGCTCCACGCTACAAAGGCCATATACTTGTCAGTGTCAATGAGGACAATGTATGTCTGAGGTTATCTAGGGGGCTTAGCACACACATGACCGCACATACAGTATATGATATGAGTGTGTGTGTGCATGTGTGTGTTGTCAATCTGTCATCGGGGGGAAGTTCATTTGCATCTCCAAAACAAGTACAGGCGTATCTCACACACATGAAGATCGAATAGTTTCCCACATATGTTCTGGTGAGGCTTACATTTTTTTTGAAGAATGCCAACCATAGCTGACTTCCTTTATGGATGAAAAAAAACATACTGTAAGAAAGGAGGTAAATAATAAGGAGATAATAGACATTTGAACTCGCACCACGCCTGATATAAATCAACTCATATCATGAATCAAGGCTTGTGTTATAGAAGTGTGAAGGTAGCACCAAGGTTATAGATAAATATAAAAAACAATTCATTATTTTCTAATGAAGACCAGGCTTAGGAGGGTTAGGAAAAGGCGGAGGGTAAACACTTCAACAATTTTAACCAAAACCAAATGTCAACATTTTGAAGAAGAAAAAAATGGAAATGTGAGCAGCATCTACAGCACTGTTTATTATGAACAGGAAACACTCATGTTTTGATTGAAGGCAACAAGTCCCTGTTCCAGCTTTTCTGTCACCGCTACTCACATTAGGTTTCACTGCGAGAAGAGAGGCTGCCGCAGTCACAACTACACTATTCTCTCTGTCACTCAAGTTTCCCTCCACACACACACACTCACACACATACAGCTGCAGCAGTGATATGAAAAATAAACAACAAAAAGAAAAGAACTCAACTTTAACACAGAGGTGTGAAGATATGAAACGAGCGCTTACCAGAGAAACAGGGCTATCCCAAAATCTGCATTCAGCGGCTGGTTGGCAGAAAGTGGTTGGGTTTGTTTGGTGCGTGTGTATCCTTCGTCTGCAGCTTCCGGTGCTACATTAAAGACATGAGAGCTGTTTTCTGGAGAGGTTCACACAGGAGGCAGCGGTGTGATTCGTTGCTCAGCCTGCGCACATTTCTGGACGTGAGAGACTCGGAGCTGTTCATTTCAGTCTGCTCCGCTCTGAGCCCCGCCAGGCAGCAGGTCGCTGCTGCTGGGAGGAGGAGTGTAGAGAGCCGCCGCGGCGCGAAGCTTCATGGGTAATGTAGTTCACGAGTACTAACGCTTAACTGGCTCTTGGAATATTTACTGCAAAGCCAATTTTAATAGGAAATTACCTTTACGCACACTAATATGAATAACAATATACAAAATGTAACAAAGCTGAAAGTAAGATGCATGAATATATTCAACACATTAGGAGATTAAAATATATATTAAAGAAAATATTGTGTGGGCAGGGGAAACAATATGAACCATTAAACAGGCACATGCTTATAAGATTCCTTGATGTTTGTCTCTGGGGAATGGGCTGGTAGGCCTGGGGCCCTTCTCACTTCTCTTATTTTTCATTTCCTCGCTCCTCGGTCTCGGTCTCACCGGAAGTTGATTTGTCTGAGCCATCTTGAGTAGCGTCCCAATGGCCTTATTTTTGCCGGAGGAGCGAGGAGCGATAATGGAGGAGCTATAACCGAGGAACCACTCAGACACTCGCCCCGCCCCCTTACTGTGTATCGCTCACTGATTGGACGAGGCAGTGCATGCACTGATCTGATACTTCTTGACATGAGAGCAGTTTCCCAGCGGAGTGAAGAAAATACATGAACCTCACGGGAGTCACTCCTCAGTTTATACTGTGTTTTGTTTCAATTCATGTATCATTTAGTTACAAATATGTGATATATATCTGAACAACAAAGTGGTCAAAAATCATTTTCTTCATTTGTTGGAACCATTTTCATGATCACTTTTTTCGTTTTACATTTTCATGTATTGTCATTTCCATTCAGTCAGTCATTAAGTGCTATTAACATGTTAATGTGCTACATATCCACACAAACAAACAAAGTGTGCAATCCAATGAATGTTAATCTAACTGGGTTTTGATAGATAACATATCTCTTTTTCTTCTCTCAATTATTTTATTTCTATTGTGCACTCTAATCAATATGATTCAATATTGTTCGTTTATACATTTTAAGAATGGCGTTTATCTTTTTTGAGAATGAGTTCTTATTTGATTTGATTTATTTGGGTCTACAACAGATGATACAAATGTTTGTGTCAGTAAATGTGTGCTAACCGGTGCTAACAGAGGCGGGGGTGTGTGTGAAAATAACGGGGACAGAGCTGCTGTCAGACGATCAGCTGTGCAGCGTCATCACAAACGGACGTCGCTTCACGTGACGCTCCGGAGGAAAGTACGTCCCATTGCTCTTAAAATTCATTTCCCTGCTTCTCGTGGTTTCCTTGCGTCCCTCCATGCTTCCCTGGTAGGAGGGACTAGTCACAGGGAAACAACGCAAGTGAGGGACGCAAGGAATCCATTTAACCGAAGTGCTTCAGCTTCAACGCAGCTAAGCTTCAACGCACGCCGCCGTGTGTAGCCGGCCTACACACGGCGGCGTGCGTTGCCGCTTGGCGGTGGGCGTGTCTTGAGCTTGGGGAGTCAACGCGAGCAACGCGGCCGACCAACAACCAATCACATGAATGTCCCGCCCCGGACATACAAAGCAAAGCATTCACGCTACATCCATGCTGGCTAAATATACTGTCTATGCTTGCTAGCTGTCCATTCAAACGAAGTACACTGGATATAAACTCCCCAAACAGGCGAAAACCTACCAGTTTCACCCACTGTCTCTGCCACCTCCCCCCATGCCTGGCTCCTCCGGTTTGTATCCCTGTATGTAAAGAGGGACTGGTCATATAGTACCGCCACGATAATTTCTCCTCCATTTTTTGACATATGGGAAATAACTGCGGTCTGGCTCTCCCAACATACACGCGGTTTGATTGGCTAGCGCTTGTAATGTCAGATTTGCATACGCGGGATTTGATTGGCTGACGCCTCCGTCGAGGCGGCAAAAGTAGAACATTGCTCTACTTTTGCAGCGAGCACCGCGAGAGAAGCTACGCTTTTCTCCCACAATGCAGTTCGGCGAATCGTGACGTCACCCCATTCAAAGTGAATGGGCAGAAGCGTTGAAGCGGCAACGCACGCCGCCGTGTGTAGGGGCCGGCTCCGGCTGCCGCTGCACGTCAACATTGCTAACGTTAGCGCTCGATTTCGAGGACGATGTATGACCAAAACAACTGTCTAATTTCGTCAGTTTAGATGTTATATCTACTTGTTCTCTCTTGTCCTTTCTCTTTTGAGCGCCGGTCTTGTGCTTTGGTTTGCTCTACATTATAAATGCAAGCTATTACATTTTTTATAATGCTGCCGAACTTGCTGCTGCTAGCTACAGTACAGTACAGGTTGATTAAACGGTTCGCTCGTCACACAAGGTATCACATGACATGAAAGGGAGCAAGTTCACTGGACAGACAAATAACAAATTTGTTTTTTTTGTTTTTTTTTGCATGGGCCCCTGACCGGCTCTGGGCCCATTGCACCGGTTGCACCGGCTGCACCGGCTGCATCGTCGATAGTAGTTACGCCACTCAGTTCACCTTATGAGCCAATAATAATAAACTAATAGGATATAAGATAAAGTAAAATTGTCAATAATAAGAGGAAATAAAGCAAGAATTGAAAAATAATGTAATCATCAAAGCATCATTTTAACTATAGTAGCTATACACACTGAGTCTAAAGGTTTGTGTTTTGCAGTCCATATTGTCAAGCCTCGAGGCTATATTTAGTTTACAGGTTTTTAATAAAAACTGATTTAACCATTAACCAGTTATTTCAAGCCTTTGTTGTTCATGTGCTGTATACTCATCACCAAAATATTTTATAAAACGTTCTCAAAATTAAATGAAAAAACATTGTTGATGCTTGTTGTTTACAAAGCATGGGGATTTTCAAAGATTTAACAACAGGACGATCTTTTAGTTCCACTGTTACAATGATTCCATGTTTCAAAACATCTCAAAGGGAGATTAAAGTAAAACAGCAGACGTTACGTGTCTATTAGTCTAAGTAATTGATATATTCAAATTCCTCAGGACACCCTAAGGACTTCTGGGAGTCCCCTAGGGAGACATAACTTGTATTGAGACTGGTAAAGAAATACCAAGCCTAACACTGTTTGTCTTGAGGGGGAAATACCTTTTCTCCAACAGTAAATAGACTGCTATTTCCCAAGAAACCCCCTGAGTGTTCACACATTGTTGAATGAATTCTCTTCCAGGAGCAGCTCCATGATTGACAATAATAGCTACTATAATCACATCTTAACTGGATGTTACCCAAAGTGTGAAAAGCAGAGGGTATATGACCTCTTTGTGAGACATAACATCATCATGTTATATGACACTTAATAATGACATATACCATTTAGTAGAAGTAACAATGACAGAGTCCAGCAGCATTAAACAGGACAGTTTAAAAAAAAAAAAACACTAGTGCCTCCTTGTAGGATCATTCAAATGAAAAGGACATTTTTTGAGTTATTTTTGTACTCAGGCAGAGAACTTGATAAATGAAATCCTGCACCAAGACAATACCTCTATTTTCTTTGCGGTCAAACATCCCCTTGAGCATTCATTGTTCCTGAGCGCTCTTTCCCCTACTTTCTGACTGCTGTACTTACAGCACAACTACATCATAAGTGTGACTGTGTATCTGTGTGTTGGGTGTGGGGAGTGTATAGGAAATGCTTTTGCCTCTCAGAAGCTGTATGTCTAAATTTAGAGGCCCGTGCCGCCACTGTCCAACTGTCAGACGCTGCGTCGGACTGTCGGCCGCTCAGGAAAGAGACTGGAGGCGTGTTGAAGTTAGGATACATCAAACTAACTGGGGTGGGCTGATCTGAGAATAACACATTTGTTCTGCACACGCCCTGAAAACAGAGTGGCTATAAATACCCAGCTATACTGAAGAGAGAGGAAGGAAGTGTAAATCTAGTGTAAAAATGTGTTTTTTTTACCAAATGGGCAGATTAGGTGAGAGTGTGAAGTGTATTTAAACTTTAAACTTGACCACTTTTGACCAAACTTAATTGGTTTATTCAGAAAATGTACTGAACTTACTTCATTTATGTATTTATTCATGCTGACATGAAATACACACATTATAGTCTTCACTGTGAAACGTCTGATGTGACAACCTTCTCTTGAGAAAATGACAAATTGTTGTTTTGATGTCATGCAGCAAACTCCCACATTACACACACGCTCATTTATTTTTTAGAAACAATTCATGCCATGATTACATTTGACTTAAGTGCCAACACATTCAGAATTTAAAGCATTACCATTTCCGACATGTTTTTTATACCCTGTCAGGCTTTTGACCTCTTTTCATCTGCAGAGTGCAGGAATCAGCATTAGTGGCAGAGCATTCCCGTCCTGCCTGTCTATTTGATTATGAAAAGTGTCTGTTTGATTGTCTATTTGGAGAGCAGCACCTCCTTAATTGACTTAGTGCAGTGACAGACCCCCACTTGTTTTCTCTTAACATAATTCTTCTTTGTGACATCGTTTGTCAGATGTTTGCAGGAAGGTGCCAAAGTCAGTTTCCCTGTGAGTTTGATAATGAGCTTTGTCATGTGGTTGCGAACGAGATGGAGCTGTTTACATACTGTCAGCACACAAAGGCTGTTAATCTACACGTGTGTTATTAAACTATCATTAAGTGCTTAAGTGCTCTGGCGGTGAAATAAACAGGCTAATCAGATTTTCTAAGTAAACGAGGTACTGTATATGAACTGTGTTTCAATAAAAGTACTTTTTTCTAACTTTTACTTCAGTAAAAGTACCAAAATAATTACAATAGTATCAAAGGTAAAGTACTTATTCTGCACAATGTCCTGCTTTAATATAACAATATTATATTATTGGATTATAATTATTGAAACATTAATGTGTTCATCACTTGAACTACCCCTGAGAATCAATAAAGACTTAATGATATAATATTATAATTGATTTTTTGATAATATGTTGTACCACTTATCTAAAACAGGAATTTGACTTAAGTTATCAGATAAATGTAGTGAAGTTAAATATTTGGTTCTGAATTGTATTAGAGTTGAAGCATTAAGTAGCAGTACAGTAAGTAAGTACAGATGTTATTATAAGTAAATTTCCCCCACTGCTAAATAGAAACCTGACACTGAAGAGAGCAGGAATGTGGTTGTAGATCATTGACACCTGCAGAATTCCAATAGCAGTCTTATATTTAAAGAACAAAACATCAAGCCTCAGACTTACTGTAACAACACCTTTTCTAGACCCCGTGTTGGAAATGCATTTACACTTTAGGGGTGCAGAATTACAATCCATACATTTCCCACCTCCCTTCACATAATGGTGTATATTATACACCGACTTTTAAAGAGCAAGTACAAGATGCAAATCAAATGTGGCCAAATATTTTTGAAGGATTGTATGAAAGCAAAACATTTAATATGAGATTGAGATTCAAATTCATAAAAAACTGACAATTCAACTGATGAACAGGCATTCATTTTAAACCCAAAATCATCAATATGATCACATATTCCTACATTTATTTGGCCTGTATAGCTTATTTATGTCTATGTGTGTCATTTGTGTACCCTTTTTGTATGAATTCTCAGTAAACTATGTCACACTGGTGAGTTATTTATCCTCTTGCGTCCTCTAGCGACAGACGTCAGCAGCACCAACCTCTGCTGAGGTCAGAGGTCACACAACAGAAAACATGGCGGCTTCCAGTAAATTGACCGTGGTGTTGAAAGCTGTGAAGAACATAACAGCCCAGTTTTGTCCGTTTGAATCAAATGTCGGGTCAACACGGTAAGAGTTGTTTGTTAAATGTCTCGTTGTGTCGTAGGGTCTTTTTGTGTGACTGCACTGTGGTTTAAAGCCGTAATTTGACAATGAGGCGACTGTCTGTTCAGACAGCAGTCACCACCATAAGATATGATTATAGTTTAGTCTTTAGGACGCATTTTATTTAGTTTAAAACGTGTTCTTGTCAAACAAGAATGCTTGAATGAGATTGTGTGGTGTGTGGGTGCAAAGTTAAATACGAACGACATAAGGATTTCCTAGTTTTCCTACTACACGTTACCCTACAATTTCAATTATTTACTTTTATTATAGTTCAGCTAAAACTGTTTTATACTTATCCGCCATAACTAAATTACATAGTATGAGTTAGTCTAAATGCCTTTAATTTTTCAGTTAATCTGGTTGACTAGACATGTTTTTAGGACTGTGTGCGTGTATAGATCAGGGGTGTCCAACCTTTTTTGAACCGAGAGCTACTTTTAAAGTTGCCAGTCTGCCGAGATCTACCAGTCCAAATAGAGAGGCGTAGCCATTACTGACAGCCTACTACCAGGTAAATACCTATGGTAAATACACACTTCTACTTGAATAAAACTGACCTTTGTACGATTAATATATATTTTGTGCCATTATATAAAAATAGTGTTGCTACAAAAGTATAAATTAGGCTTACTAATAAGACAACTCAGATCTGAAGCTACACCGGAATCTGCTGCCAAAGTGCAATATTAAAAAATTAATAGAATCAAACCCTTTTTTTTTGCATTTTAGTAGAATATAAAAAGAAATGCCTTTTTTAAAATAGGATGCAAGCAACACTAGTTTCTTAACCTGAATTGATAATAGACTATAATCAATTTAAACAGAACAGATCTTAATGTTTGCATTCTTATACCATTTTGTACATTAATTATAATGAATAAGTTCAAACAAACTAAAACTTACAGCTGATTAATAACGGTATCTAACTTGAGTTTTTATCAAAAACCTGTTGAAATGCTACTGTTTTTTACTGTCCCCCAAAAGCGCGTCGGCAGCCTCCAGGAATGCTTCTTACACAACTTCGCCGTCTTTGAAAGACTTCATGTGTTTCGCAAGAACGTGACTGACACGATAAGATGCTCTGGTAGCAGCCTTGCTCTTGTTGTTGGCCCTGGTGAAAATGGACTGCTGTGCATTTAGCTGTCCTTTCAGGCCCCTCACCTTTTGGAGCGTAGGGCCGAATTAGGAGGGAATTCCGTCTCGTAGCGTTTGTGCACTGTTTTGAAATGCCGCTCCTAAATTACCCTTCTTCGATAAAGCCACGCTCGCATTGCAGATGAGACAGATTTGAATTGGAATAGATACACAAATAATCATCCTCCCACTCGGAGTGAAAATTATATATTTTGGGCTTTTTTGCTTCTGCCATAATTGCGGTCTTGTGTGTGTGCGGACTGGCACTCCTGTTGACACGGACAACGTCAGCGAAATAGTGCTCACCAGCCACGCCCCAACCAGTGCATTATTCTGGTACAGGAAGATTATGTTATAGGACATTAACGATAAAACAGAATATTGTTGTTCTATTTTTAGACACCCGGTCGATCGCGATCGACTGGTTGGCCACCCCTGGTATAGATTAATTGATTGGCATCTTCCTGAGTTTCCTATTGGATTTGTTTCCCATTTGAAGGCGGGACTAATTACACCTTTTGCATTTGTATTGGTAGAAATAGAGCTGTGACCCATCAATGCTTGGGTTTACCTTAACTCTGAGCAGAGGTGTATTAATCCAGAATAACTGAAAACACCTTTGCATGTGTTTAGAGGCAAAGATGTTTTTTCAACTTATTCTGACTGATCAGACTTCCCATGATAACCTTTAGCTATGTAATGTTTGAATTTTAGGAGATGACCAAACTTCACCAACCAATACAAATAATAAATGTGCACCCCTCCCACACAAGTGGTGCACAAAATCAATAGGAGGGTCAGGTTGATGTCAGTCTGCACACTCCCACACAGGAACAAATCAACACCAGCCAAATGGTGGTGGTGGTAAAATGTAAATGTAAAATGTTGGTTGAAAGTGGCTCATTACATTTGAAACATTCACTAGCAATGTGGCTGGTGCAAGGAACAAATATGTTTCACCCTGCTCCAACAGGGTCATGAGATGGGGCCTATTCAAGCTAAATAATTTGTGACATCGTCTGTGACGGTTGGGGTGTGTGTAAGGCCATTATTCAGCAATGTTGGTATTGGTGAATGGTGTTTTACTCATACATGTAAGCCACATGTAATTAACAAGTTTATCTATAATCTGTAATGTGGTAGAGGACAAAACATTCAGAAATGTTGATTAAGTATGTGGAAATATTACATTGTAGAAAAAGGCACTTTGTGTTGAAGTGCAAAGTAGAACAAAATGGAAAGTTGGATACAAGAACTTCAAATTGTACATTATAAATGTATTAAGTACTTTCTATCACTACTGTATTATTGGATAATTAATCTGAGATATGCTGGTCTGTCCTGCAGGATGTTTCTGTGCGTGATGAGCTCACATAAGGTCCGAGCTACCAACTTGAACTGTGAGGTGATCGCCACAGTGAAGCATGACGGGTCTGAACCTGTAGTGGAAATCACTTACTGTGAGTATTACCTGCCTGCCTTCATGTGTGGGACAATATATGTAATGGTGTGGTTCTATGAAGCAGTGTTGCTTTGGCTGTTGAGTTTTGCATTTGCCGTACATATTCCAGGCATTGTTTAGTCCACGAAAGATGTGTAGAGACATATAGGCTGATTGTTTTACTTGCATTATGGAAATGATGGAGAAAAATTAAATGACATTTGTTTGAATTATAAATATCCTCAGATTTGTTATTGGAAAAAAATCAGCGTTCTTTTGAATTGCATTTTCTCTGAATCAGAAACACTGTATTTATCCCCATGGGGAAATTAGATTTACTAACAGTTGCTGTATTTTAGAATAAAATTAAATATATAAAGAATAACAAGAAGAATGAAAACATATAAACAACAACAATAAACATGTTTCTTATTAAATTATTTACTGTAGTTTCATAATATTTACAACAATAATTAAGGCATACAAATAGTTAATTACTCAAAATGTACAGTGTAATATAGTAATGTCATATACGTGTTGCCCGGTTGAATACTTAATGTACTTTACTACTTCAAGTAGTTAGAAGACACTACAGAAACTGTAGGATTATTCTACATAAGAAGTTGACTTGAGGTAGTGCTTGAAGACAAAAATGCTACTTGATTTGAAGTTATAGTGGGTGGGTGGGCTCTTAGAAAATATTTGAACTAGGTTATTGTGGAGAGGTGATCTTTAAATAAATGAACTTTACCCAGTAAAAAAACACTGGTTTTTAAAAATGTATTTCACTTTTATAAAGTTAGGAGAGTCCCATTGATATTAACAATCTCTTTTTCAAAGTAAATCTGAACATTTAAAGAGACATATTTGTTGTGGTCTCCTGGTGGATGTTTTTTAAAAGTCAGGGTGTATCGTCATTGTAATTACAGCTCAGCACATACAGCACAGCGCCTACAGCTAAGTGTGTGTTTTAGTCTTGGAATTTCCTGCTGATGTTGTTACTACATGATATTACTCGCACACAATGAGTCAAGTACTTGTCAAAAGTCAAAATGTCTGCCATAGGTCAGCAGGACTGTGTGCGGATGTTGCCCATTGTGTGTTACTCGACTTCTGCTCAGTTACATTTTCACCTTTTTTACTCCTTATACAGAGAGAGTGTAAATGTGTCATTATGGGTCATTTAAATGTGTCTTTGTCTCTCTCTACTAAAGTGGACGGAGATAAGCTGATATTGAAGGGAGCGAAGCTGAACTGCAGCGAGATGCTGAGTGCGTTTCAGTCGATGTGCGCAGCCAAGGAACTACAGGCAAAACTCGCAGCAGCAAAGAAATAATATGTGTTGAATTTATCTGTGATCTTTGTATATTCCTGGATGTTAAATATTAAAGTATTTCATAAATGTGTTTGTTCTGTTGTGGTTTGACCTTTGATTTACTGACACGACACTGCATTGATGTAATGTGATGGACAGGCATGATACTGAGTCACTCCTCTTCCTCTTATGAATCCAAGTTCCTCCACCATCTAAGCATCAAATTCTTGATCCTCTATGCCAGTGGTTCTCAAAGTGGGGGGCGCAGAGGCATGCCAGGGGGGGCGCGAGAGACCAGGAGGAAAAATTGTTATATATATACAAAAAAAAGATTTAAAAAATAAAAAAAAATCATAATTACAAAAATTATTGATTCAAAAATAATATGATGCAGTACAGTACTATTACGTCTGGGTCTCTGTGTATCATTAAAGCTCCGGCTCCGTGTGTGTGGAACGAGCCATTTTGTGTGCGCGAGAGAGAGCGCACCGGTACCGGAGATCGTTGTTGTTAGCTTCTGGTACTATCGAGCTACGCTAACGGATATAAGGAGTTTGTTCAACAACAAAGTGGAGGAGAGTCAGACTGAGAGACTCAATGAGCTAAAGGACTCTCTCAGTGTTATCTCAGTGAGTCTCAAATTGTTGGTCACCATTAATGTAAACAATTATTTCTGAGGCACACGTTTATATGACCATTATAGTTATAAAAAAACAAGAGAATAAATGAAAAACAGGTATGAAATACTATATGATAGTAAAACAAGAATAGAGTTTAAAAGGGTGATTTGTAAAATATCCATAAAGAAAAAGTAAATCTGTTTACAGTTCTGTTTCATATGGGTGTTGAGAGAGGTATCCATAGATCTCTTCATGTTGCTCTCAAAGTGCACCAGATTGATGCTTTTAACTTCAATATTTAAAAATAAATCTTCCCGGGGGAGCATGCCCCCCTATGTGAAGTCCACACACCACCTACAAAAATAGCACTTTACCCCTGCTTACACCTATATGCCGTGAGCTGATTATCGAGCCAATGGTGACAGTCGCGGGTACACTGTGTGTATGCGTGGGGATTGTTGCAGTAGAACATTCCACTGTAGCGCCCGGTACATTAATGGGAAACCCTAAATGTTTGAGCACCCTCTATGAAACGTCAAGCTACCGCACAGCAGCCCCAAAATAAATCTCTGGCGCCGCCACTGAGCCTGACTATTTGTGTTGGGGGGGCCCGACTTTTTTTTTTCTCCAAAGGGGGGCCCTGACAGAAAAAGTTTGAGAACCACTGCTCTATGCGGATATAATCAAATTCACTGCTATGAAATTTAAAAAAAGTACTGCACCTTCTTCTCAAGAGAACATATTTTACATTATCCCCATCAGCTATGCTTATTTTGTATATTAAAGACATCAATTGAAATCCTTTACCTGCTAAAAAATGTGCTGTGATCAGTGCAGAGTCATGGTGTATCATTGCGTATGTGCCATTTCCCTGATAAAAGAGATCATTCCAGCGTTTGAGAGTACATTATGCAAGCTCCAACCTTTGACACAGCAGGCTTAAATGTAATTTGGCACAGATTTAAACGCAGCCCCAGTGAAAAGAAAAAAAAAAAAGGCACAGATAACTGAAAACCTGCCCCCTCTGCTTGTCACCCTCTGTACCATTAGCATGTAACATACTAGCAATTCTTTGGATGAATTATGACATTCACAGTTTTCACGTAACAAGTTATTTTGATCAGTTCCTCTGAGAGCTGAAAACATGGTCCTGATGGTTCTATGACACTGCCATCTAAAATGTGTGTGCCCCCTAATTAGTTGTCCTCCATAACATGTTTTATAAGTTGTAACTACTGTAGTTGTAACTTCAATAGTAAATAATGTATTAATGCATTACAGATCAGTCATGGGTTAAGAGGTTATGAATGAATCCCACTTGCTACATTTAAATGCAAATAATCCATCAATAAACGCTAATGGAGTAAAGCAATTAAATCCACAATATTTATTTTTATTTATTATGGAATGAATGGTGTTAACCAAGTCTGCAGCTGAAAGTAATAATCCGTTTTAATGTATAGATGTTGGTGTAGATTGTCAGCAGCTCGCATTTAGCAAACTCATGGAAATTAATTTCAAGTTTAATAACTTAAATTTCAATTGTAAAAAAATTGTAAATTATTAAGGCTGAGGGGACATGTTCTTGCATCCTTAATTGAAATGACAATATATTCCAATTTTTGTGGTGACAGGTGCCCATTTAGCTCAGAATTTAAAGTAACTAAAAAAACATGAATACGTTTCAGCTTTTTAATTGTGTACACCCTTTTATGAGAAAGCCCATGAAGTTTCACATGCTAGTACCAAGAAGGGCTGGAAACGCTCTATTAAGTGACGTGTCAGGATGTGATTGGCTCATTCTGTGTCATTTGATGTCGGTCTGGCCCTTTAAAAAGGAGTCTATTCCCACACTGGAAGAGAGTTGAACCCAGAGTCACTTCACTGGTTATTGTCGAGGATATCAGAAGCTGCAAACATGGTTGAGAAATTTGTTGGGACGTGGAAGATGATTTCCAGCGATAACTTTGATGACTACATGAAAGCAATCGGTAGGAGAATATATTTAAGATTAATGATGGAAAACCACTTTCAGGGTGTCAGCTGTTAAACTATTAACTGTAACTTATGCAAAACATGTCAGATATATTTTATATAGTTGTATTTTTTTAAGCCTGCAGTGTGTTATCTTTAATGCATGTTTCTGATCTTGCCCTCCCGCTGTGCAGGTGTGGGATTTGCGACCCGGCAGGTGGGGAATCGCACCAAACCCAACTTGGTAGTGAGCGTGGACGATCAAGGGTTTGTATGCTTGAAGTCTCAGAGCACTTTCAAAACCACTGAGATCAAGTTCAAGCTAAACGAGCCATTCGAAGAGACGACCGCAGACGATAGGAAGACCAAGGTTAGTTAATGTGGTTTGAAAAATAATCACAGCCCGAGTCTGTGCTGGAGGTAACGGCTTGTCTCTGTTTGTGTCCTGCAGACCGTGGTGACTCTGGAGAACGGGAAACTTGTGCAGAAACAGAGCTGGGATGGCAAAGAGACACATATCGAGAGGGAGATCGAAGATGGGAAATTGGTAGCGGTAAGGGTTATTTTTTTTCTCATTAGCCTACTTCATATGGAAAATCAAACTTGGTAATCTGGTAGAAATCTAACAACAAAATGCCGTTATAAATCCGTGCAATATTCTGTAAATGTACCTCATCAATCATGATCACAAGTAGTTAACAGTTTTTATAATGTTATGTATTTATTTAATCAAGATTGTATGTTTTGATTTTGTTTATAAAGTGTTAATGTGGTGCTATATACGAATATATTGTTCATACCCACTTGAGAATAAGAGAAAACATGTATTTGAGAGTAATTACAATGTTATTGTACTACAGGAAATCCTGTGACAGAGAGGGGGGTAATTCAATTGAATACTATAAAGTGTATATTATATTTATATAGAAAGAGTTAGGCTTTATTACAGGGGAATAAGACAATATTATAAAGGATAAAGATTCATTTAAATAACCACAGACACACTTTGGGAATATACTGTTTAACTGTGTACAGACACATGTTATAGAGTTGGATAGCTGCAGCATATATTTTTCTTCTAACTCAAAACATATTCCTCTTCAACTTCTTTACAACTGCTCCTCTTTGTGATCATCGGATCACACCTGATCTCCCTTTTTTCTCCCACAGAAATGCATTATGGGTGATGTGATCGCAGTGAGGACATACGTGATGGAGGCATGATTGGCTCCCTTCAGCCCACTCGTTGGATGCATTGCAGGATGACAGGCTCAGTTCAATGAGCGTTATACCAAACTAAAGTAAAGGCGTGTTCTGCTCTTACTACTCTTTATCTTCACTGTTTTTGCCAAAATAAATCCCTGTGCCTCTGTTCTCCAACATGACACATTTGGTTTCATTTGGAATTGTTGTGGTGATTTGAATAAAAATCAATGAGAATTTCTCAAAATTGCGTCTCAGTGAGTTCATTGTTAATTTCTGATGGTTGTGTATAAATCAGGTTCTCTGCTGTTTATAGAACAGCCTATCGTCCAAATTCAATTATGAGATTATTGAAAGCATTCCAATCATCAGGGCATGCTGAGGAATGTTTCACAAAAAAGTGCTCTAATGGGAGCCTAATCTGACAAGCTGATTTCCTGACTTTAATGGTTTATTCCCATGCCCGGTGAATATTACTGTGATTATTCCACATCACTTTTCCCACTTTGGCTTGTACAATCCTTTCATGCTTCCTTTTTTTGGTCAGTTTCAAAAATATCCAAAACATATCTCATATTTAAAGGTCAATAAATCAGCCATCCTCATGATATATGATGCATGTTGGCAGGGGCTCCTTGAGGAATGTGAACCCTTTTTAGAAGTATCGAGAGCATCATGCAGAGAGGTCAGTGAGGAAATGTATCCCCTCTTCCTTTTTAGGAGGTCGAACATTTCCCATTGCTCATATGCTGGCAGCTGTGCGCACATGGAGAAACAAAAACACATTATGGGTTGTCCCTAGACGTCTCCACCCTTTGGCCACGGCTTAAGTCTCTGTGTTTTACGGGGGGGGGGGGGGAGATTGTACCAGAACCGATGGACACTTTCCCATGACAGGAAAAGGGAAACGATAGCCCTGATTGGATCTAATGGCAAAAACAGCTGAAACAGGTGCTATTGTGAGCCAACGCTCTTGTTCCCTTCAGCGTGGACAATGGCACCGGGAGTAGGGGACGCACAGTGTTTGAACTTTTGGAGCAGTTCCAAGTCAATGAACATACCCCGCCATGGGGACAACTACCAGAGGTCAACAGAGCAAAGTTGTATTTGTGTGTCATTGGCCATGTTTTACTCAAAGACATTACACTTCAACATCTTAAGTGCCAGTTGTTAACTCGTTTCTCAACCTTTTAGCCTCTAGTGCAATTTCCTTTAACACTTAATGCAGCTCCCTAGTGACCCCAAAAGCCCCAGGTTCAATGTTTTTTTGTAACCTTTTCTTGAACATTAAACT